ATAGATAGATGAGCTTAATCGTGTGTGGTTTGATTGTAAATGAGTCCCCGAGTCTCCAGAGATGAACATCACACAGAGACTGATGAATTTACACATCAGACGCGTCTCTCCTCCTGCATCTCTCTCGCTCTCTCTCTTCTGTGAGTTCATCCCTCCTTCCACAGGCTGTGATAGAGAAATGTTCTCTGGCTTCTCTTAATGTGAAGCACATTCCTTCAATTCACTTCCACAGATGTGCACTTTCCATTTCAAAGCTTTCCTGTTTCTCAGTTAGAGTGATCGCACCCCAGTGTCCTCGCAGTGCGCCTTCATTTCAAACACTCCTAAAGGCCATGTTCGCAGTTACAGCTTTATTCTTTCATTCATGCTGTACATAAATTATAGGAACCTTTATTTCTGTAGCTGTCCTTCATGACGTCCTCTCTGCTTAGATCCGTCTATCAATTTCAAGAATACAGTATTTCAGAAGGAGCTAAAATAAAAATGGAGTATGTTCAGAATAAATACTGGCATAATGTTTATTTTATACTGCATAGGCTACTGTCTACTATTTTTTAATAACTATCGTTATGTAATATATGAAACTGTATTCAACAATAAACATCTCAATCAATAATATGCTGTTTTTGAATGACCTCATTACTTTGCATGTTTACAGTAATTCAGTTATCCACCAGTGTTTATCTTGTATTTTAATCCATTTTGTGTAAAATACCTTAACTACATTTTTTTTTTCTAGCGAACTGATGAGAAATGGACATTGAGTGACTTTCCTGAGGTAAAATTTGTCATGTGAGGTTGTTTTAAGAGTTGTTTTATGTACGTCTTTCTGCCTTTGAAACAGTGCTTTGTCAGTTTCAGTCCAGTTTTGTGTAAAATGCCTTAACTTTTAAGTAAAATATCTGTACTAAAATATTTTTTTTCTAGCGAACTGACGAGATATGAACGTTGAGTGACTACCTGAGGGCAAACAAAACATCACGTTATATTTTTCACACGTTTTTTTTTTTTTACGTCTTTCCATGGTTAAAAACACTGCTTTTAATTTTAAATTTAAATTTAATTTTAACTATTTTAATCCAGTTTTGTGTAAAATATGCCTTAACTAAAATATATATTTTTTTCTAGCGAACTTACTAGGTATGGACGTTGAGTGACTGTCCTCCTGAGGTAAAAGTAATGTCAGGTGACACGAGTTGTTTTACGTCTTTCCACGGTTGAAACGTGCGTTTTGGCGATTACACGAGAGATTATACATTTCCGTAAGTTGTGCTGTATCTTTTAACATACTCGCTGATGTTAATTTATTGTTATGTCATGCTACATTTACTAGTAAAGCGGGAGAGATGATCAGGTACATAGAGCGGTGTAATGTTATCTCGCCACATTAAAGAGCGGCAAAAACCATACTCATCGTTTAAATTTCGTAATAAAATTGACGCACTTTGGAAGCTAAGACTTTGTTTTAACAAAAATAACATAAAACACAAAACCTAAAGTTATTTATAATCACTTTTGTCAACAAATAACGGCTCAATTGAGCCACTTTCAAAATGGTAGAGTGCGTCACACATATGCTAAATTGAAAATAACAGGTTACTAACACACAAAGAGTAATATGAAAGCATTCTTATTTGAACATATCCACTGATTTGGGTATAGGATATAATAAGAGTAGTTTGTATAAATGAGGAATTAATAATAGCAGCCTTTGCTGTTAGTTCTGTGCTGGTTTTGTTGATGTAATTTGAATGGTCAGTGTCATTTATTTCTGGTTGGCTCACTTTTAACTTCAGTTGTTTGATATTTTAGAGCAAAACTGTGCAAACTATGAATCTGCATTTGAGTAAATATTGCAAGAGTATGAATTTTATAACCCAACAATAACACCTTGGGCATTTTCATTAAAGACAAAACTGAATGAACAAGAGTTGTCAGCAATAAGAGGAATTAGATGAAGTTTTCTTCTTTACTATGTTAAACTGCTTGGATCAGTAACAGCGAGCTGTGTGATCGTGGTCTCTCACAGCTGAGATGGGCTGATGTGCCGGATATGTTAATATTCCCTGCTCCAGTGCCCCGTCCTGCAGTCGGGGCTGTTTGAGATGGATCTAGGCCAGTGACACGGCCGGGGCTCTTGAGAAAAAGACTCCAGTCACTGAGCTCTGGGTTAATACAGCTGCCTGTGTGCACTTTACCACCTTCAGTTATAGAGAAAGATCTTGATTCGATTTATATTTAATATTGGGCAAATAAGAAAAAACTGTACAAAATAATTTTTTTCAGACATAGACTGAAGTTAGAGCAAGTTGTACTTTGGTTGGACAAGCTGTACTACCAGACAAATGTTTGGACACACTTGCTCATTCTTATTTTCTGCTCATTTTATAACAATATAAGTTTAAAAAAAATAGATATAAAAAATATGTTTTTAAGCTGCTTCATTGTCTAGATTCCAAAGTGCAATTTTAGGGTTGTGCCATTTTAAAACTTAAGAAATATTTCTGAAAAATGTTTGGTGAATTCAGGTAAATTGTAAATTTGAGATGACTGGGAAAAACGTCCCAATTAACCTGAATTAATATATTTAGATGTATCACAGCTGTACTAAAAATAATCAAAATCATGTTTTTACATCCTTGGATTATTCTTCAATGGTGGTGTCCAAAACTCTGAGAAGATTATGTTTTATAATGTAAAACTAAGATATAAAATAAGTATTTCTGTGTGACTAATCAAGTTTCTTTGTACAGGCGGTCAGATGTTCTTGTTCCATTGAAGCACAAGATCCTCACTGGATCATCTCAAGTCGTGCTGCAGAACATGCTCATAAGGTTTGTTCATGTCAAAATACTCCCCAAAATAATATCATACAAGGATCATTCCAGCTTAAAGTAAGTCAGTTTAGGTTTGTTTAAATATGCATCTAATACGATAAGAAAAGGTTTTTCAGTCTTTGTTCCAGATAACCAGTGATAGTCTTAAAGGGGTCATATGATGCTGCTAAAAAGAACATTATTTTGTGTATTTGGTGTAATGAAATGTTTTTATGCGGTTTAAGGTTCAAAAAACGCTTAACACTCCAAAGAGAAAGGAAAAATTGAAATCGCATCATATGACCCCTTTAAAAATTCATTTCACTTGAGTATTTCACATGTCCATGCGTCTCCTCTTCTGCAACTCTACATAATGTATCACAGTGATAACAGTTATCAGATATAAAGATGTATATCTGATATCAGATATATATTTATCAGATATCAAGAACACTACTGGTATCAATTAACATTTATTATTTTTAAATAATACAATAAATATACTACAAAGGAACATGGGCTTTGGTAGAGAGTTACAACAAACATCGCTCTCTCTCCATTTCACAATGAAGGACAGGCCTGTTTTCATCGGAGCACTGAGAGGATGTATCATACGGCTGATAAAAAAAAAAGAAATGTGGCTGTGGGAAGAAACAGGAAGAGAAAGCTTAACATTTTCATGCATACAGGAAAGTTTTAATGCTTCAAAAGACATACAAGGGTGGGTGGACACAGTAAACCTGAATTTATTGACACAAAACCAATATCTCTTCTATCTTCTCGTACACAGGTTTGACACGACCGCAAAAACAAACAAACGAACATTACAAAGACAAAAAAAACAGAGTAAACTTTACTGGCAGCATTACTGCTGGTTTTGAAATTTACAGAAGAATCGGTTGAAATTTGTTTCGTACTGATAAAATTGTGTCAAAACTGCATATTCCATGTTGAATCCTCTTAAAAGAACCAGTTCAAGTCATATTAAAAAAATTAGAGCAAGATTTTGCAGTAGCAGGTCTAGTGGTCAAAAAGCAGAACAAAAGAGTGCAGGAAAATGTCTAGTGGCAAAAGGTGTGATAGATGAATAACAAGATGGCTCTAGTCAATGACAACAAATTCTGGCAGGTGAAGGAATATATGCTAGCGAAATTTTATAATGTACAACAAACGTGAATAATCACACAAGACAATCTGATTCTTGGTCTTCAAGTCTCTTAAATTAAGAGAAATCTCTTTGGAAGGAAAGCTGAAATCGGCAGTCAAGTTAACTATTCATTCCTCTAAGCGTTTTGGTTAAAATATTCACAGGACCCTCCAAAAAGATCTAATGAAAAGGTCCCAAGCTAATTGTGTGTGAAAAGGCATTTCATTTCCATCGCTTCTGTTAGCTAGAGTAACACTTTACATTACAGGGTCCATGTTACACGTGATACCTCAATCACAACAGCATTAACAGTAACTGTGCTCCGTTTAACCATTTCAGATCGTGTGAATAGACTGTGACGCGAACGTTGTAATGTAAAGTGTGAGCTAAAGCCTTTGGAGGACCATAAATGATCTCCATATAACAATCTGGACATTTGTCAAACGTGGTGAGGAATGATAACAGAAGAAAAACGTGTTCTCATCTATAAATGAATATGATTTTACGGCATGCATACAAATACTTCCCCACCTCGGGAAGCAAAGCTAGGACTTTGACAGAAGACGTGGAACCGCTTGGGTATCACCGCAGAGCCGTTTTCAATTACAACAAACAAGTACAGGAAAAAAGGTATATATTTTTAGCACCACATAGCACCTAGTTCACCGATATTATGTTTCCTCAGTGTGATGGTGTGCTCTTCTGATACAGGGAAGCACCGATTCGTGAACGTCAGATCAAAGATTCCCCTCATACAGGCGGGTCGCGATCTCACAGACCCACGGAAGCCACTTCAACATGACAGGTAGCAAATTAATGCTCACATTACGGCTGTTTCTTACTTTTACTGTCATTTTGTTGTTTAAATTACAAAAAGACGTTGTTCACATCTGGAATAAGACTTTGTTGCTGTTGCAGTTGCTTTTTTGTCGTATTTTAATCATTTCCTTTACTTTCTCTTCTTCAGATTCACTGGAAATTTCCTCAGGCTCTTTTATTGGGGGTATATTTTATTTTTTTTAAAGCGTTTTTTCCAATAACCAGCAGCTCTGTCCTTATCGCTCAATGGGTTCACATGCATGTTTTGAAGCCAGAACCAAAAAAAAAACACTTCACCGGAAAAAAAAATATACAGAAAGTACTTACAAACATAGAAAAAAATATTTATATATATTTATATATATAATCACCATTCCAGGGAATGGAAGACAAGTATGCACAAAAAACAAAGCTTAGAAGTGGAAAGAGGAACAACATAAAACCCAAGCAAACAAACCAACGGAAAATATTTCTCGTATGTGCATAGAGCTACAAGTCCAAGAACAGGAGGGAAATAAAAGTATGGATCTAATCTGTCTATACAGCCTGTGGGAGGGGCGAAGAGTCGGATGAGTGTAAAGTGGGCGGGGCTGGGAGAGTCATGAGTGATGACCTCATCCAGTTTCAAAACTTGCATGTGATGCAGAGGGTACACTGAGGTTAAAAAGGTTGCTCTGTTATAAGAACCCATTGTTTGGACATCCATTCTTTCTTCAAATTTCTTTTATCCTTACTTTAGTATCTGTTGGGTTTGTTTGGAAACACAAAACTTTACAAACAAGTCATCCTATTTCTTTCTTGTGTTTTGTTTTCGGAGAAAATGAATATGTTTTGTTCGCGCGTGCTCGCTGAGCAGTCTTAGCCGATGAAGCAGGCCGGTCCGACCTCAAAGCCGAACTTCTGCGTCGCTCCGCCGAAATCGTTGAACATAATGTCAACAAATGGTACCTGCTCCACTTTCGGTGTGTTGATCTCAAGAATAGTCTTTTCATAACCCTTTTTCAACTGCAGGAGGAAAGAAAGGAAGCGTTATGAACATCGCTTATGGGAGTTTTCGGTTTAAACTTGCTAAAAACAACTTCACAATTCAGAACCGCATAATATTACGATTTTTATGGTTGAAATAGTAAGTTAGTATGCAGTTCTGAATTCAGCAAGTATTTCCGGCTCTTACCGCACATCCGTCGACGGCGGCTCTGATGTACGGGTTGTTATCGTAAGACATCTCCTCATCGTTGGAACCCAGGAAGCGGATGGCTTTATCGTAAGAGTCCAGGTCCTGGTTGTGCCAAGCCACCGACTGGTAACAGTTGTATGTCAGGTTCTGCCGAGCCGTGGCACTGAGTAAACGCAGGAACGTCATCTGGACCACTCCGATCGGATTGCCCTCCACATCCACGTATGAGAGCTGCGCAGACAATCAGACAGCGGTACGGTAAAGATAACGGCCGGACAAACACCCCCTGGAGGTTCTGCCGAAAACTACACATCGCACCCCTCCGATCCTACGCTACTTTGATCACTATTGTTTTAGATTTGGGTTCAAAACTCTAGAGTGGCAAAAAAAAAGAGGAATTTTTCAGGTGAAGTGTTAGAAAATAATAATAAAAATAAAATAATCAAGTGTTACTGAAATAAGATATATTACCTCAAAACAAGACTGAACTTATATTCTTCTTCTTAAGTAAGTTTATTTTGTTTAAATTTTTAAAATATTTTTGTTTACTGAAAAACAAAACTTAAAAAAAATTAAGGCAATTTTGTTTTTGCAGTGAAATTAGTTGTCAATTATTTGTCAGAAACCATTGTCAATCTTTTTGAATAAATACTTAGCTATAACAATTATGTATTTACAGTACCGTTCAAAAGTTTGCATTTTGCATTTATTTGATCAAAAATACAGTAAAAACAGCAATATTGTTAAATATTATTACAATTTCAAATAACTGTTTTCTATTTGATTATATATTATGAAATTAGTTGTCAATTATTTGTCAGAAACCATTGTCAATCTTTTTGAATAAATACTTAGCTATAACAATTATGTATTTACAGTACCGTTCAAAAGTTTGCAATTTGCATTTATTTGATCAAAAATACAGTAAAACAGCAATATTGTTAAATATTATTACAATTTCAAATAACTGTTTTCTATTTGATTATATATTCAAATGTAATTTATTTCTGTGATCAAAGATGAATTTTTAGCATCATTATTGCAGTCTTCAGTGTCACATGATCCTTCAGAAATTATTCTAATATGATTCGCTGCTCAAGAAACATTATTTTCAATGTTGAAAACAGTTGTGCTGCTTCGTATTTAGTGAAAACGGTGATCATTTTTAATATCAAGTTCAAAAGAGCAACATTTATATGTAATACATTTTTTGTAACATTATAAATGTCTTTACTGTCACTTCTGATCAAATAAATGCATCTTTGCTAAAACAAAAAAAAAAGAAAGAAAAATCACCTCATACAAGTTTATATGTGGTTAAAACTGATCTGTGTCTATCGTGTCTAAACACTCTTGTTTCATCAGTCAGGCAAGAGCAGGAAACTCTTTTCCCAATACAGATAAGCTCTGCATGTATTAAACACCAAAATTCATTTACACATTCAAACACGGAAGATAAACTCATTTTGTTACAGACTCCACTGAAAAATATCACTAATATATTCAAATGAGTTGTACTGGTTTATATGCAAATTCTCCCCTTGTGGTGTGATGCAACATTTGCATTACGGAAATATGCAAATGTTTTGTTTTCATTCTTGAATATACCAACCCATGTTTAGAAGAAAACTCCATCTCCTCTGATCCACAAACACACACATATGTGACTGACTGAGAGAGCGAGCGCATGCTCCATGCACACACACACATCATTATATACTTACGATTTAGGAGGTCCTCTCACACACTCATATGCATTGACTTTGCATGCATGCAACCCACCATGAACACCTGCCCATTACCACATTACCTCATGATCACAGCTGAATGTCAAGAGAGACTGAACCCAAAGCTCAGTGACTGAGATCTGCCATGGACACAAAGGCTCTGTTCCAAACACTAGTGACTGTCTACTGTCTATCTTCTAAGGCAGCTTATGTTAAATTTATAACAGTTAAATAAAACTATGTATGTATGTGTATGAAAACTTACTTCAGCAAGTTGCCAACAATTTTCATTTATTTACCTTGATGTACTAAAATAAATCAAACTAAAACATAAATAAATCTATAAAAACGAATTTTAAAGTTTTAGTAATTTGTGTTTTCATAAAATGTTTTATATATAAAGTAAAAACAGAATATATATAAAAAATTTAATTAATTCAAAATATTAACAAAAACTATAATAGTGTATCAATTAAATACTGAACACTGCCTCATAGTGACTGATTTGAAATGATCTTCATTAGCCAGAATTTAAATAAAATTAAAAATAATCATGAAGCATGACTCAAGGACTTTTTGTACTGTCTGTTTCCATCATAAATAAGGTTGCTCTTAAAAAAGAAATTGATTAATATTTTATGGTTAAGTATTATTATGTTAAATACAACATAGATTTTCACAATATATTGAGTTAATAATTTTCAATTAATTCAGTTCCTAAGTTTTCATGTAAGTTTACCTTAAAATTACTTTTATTGTTTTGTTGTCTCTCATACATGATTTTTGCTTTATATTGAAACTTAGTCCAATTAAAATGTTAATGTTGACTAAATGTTGGGTTTTTACTTCTTTTTTATATAAAAAGTACATTTACTAACTTGAACTTGATTGTTACAGTTGATTCCAATACAGTTTGATGTTAGCATGTTCTTGACTTGATAATCTACATGCATTGTTAAAAAGTCTATTTTTAAGAATGAACTATTTTCTATTAAACCTTTTCAATACTGCAAAAAAAAAAATCTATACACAGCTTTTCACTAAGCTCATCACAATGCGATTGTCTTCGATGCAAAGGATGCATGCAATTCTATAACAAGGTATCTTAAATGGAAGCTGTTTGATACACCTTTTGCATCTCACTAGCATTTGGAGCAGAGCGACAATCATGTGTTAGCTGACTCAGTCACTTCAAGGTGATTTCCTCAAGCTTACAGGAACAGAAGACGGGTTGGATTCCATCAATCAGACCTTTCACATTAACAAATCTACAAATTCTAGGGTAAGTCGGGTTTATGTCAATCACATTCTTGAGTCTTTTTGCTAGTGCAACAGACTGACTGATGTCTCCGCCCACAGTCCTCAGATTACCCATAAGTCTGAGCAAACACTTTTTGCTGCCGTTCTGATGATGACCATGCTCGGCCACGAAGGGATCCGAGAAACATGCAGAAGCACGGGCCGCTTAGAGACCGATTGTCCGGAAACACTGAGGATCCGTGGACCCTCGGTACCGGCCCGTTCTCTCATGCATTCCTACTTACCATGGACCCTCTCTTGTAGCGACTATACCATGTGCCTGGACTGTCTTTGGGCCAGCGAGCCATTTTGCTCTGTAAAATAGAAGACTATTTCAGGAGGACAAGAAAGAGGAGTCACTCTTACCAGTTTACCACGTTTGAATTCACTGAACCACGATCCTGGATTCTCCTTCACCCAAGAGGTGAGTCTGGCCTGAGAGAGAAAGAGTCAGCTAGAGTCAATACTGCAGACAGACAGACAGACAGGAAGTAACAGGTAGCCTGTGGGAATTATTTTGATCTGTTTTGCAGTGTAGTTGTCAATCTGTCCAAGGCAGAGGCTTTCACATAAGACATGTTCTTGCAGACAGTGTACATACAAATGGACATCATAAATGAACAGATTAAACCTACAGCCCTACAATTAACAAAATACAATGAAAGTGAGCTTTACACAACTATTATACAATTTATAACAATAATCAAATCTAATTTTAATTAAATATATAATAATATTTAATCATTTATTTTTGTACTAAGTCCCTATATATTCTAAAAAGGTTTACAAAATTGATATAAAATGAATAGTATCATTTTCACATAATTAATTTTTTTGTGCGAACTACAAAAGTGCCACTTGAAAACCTAAAATGTAGTTTTAAAAATGCCTATAATAATAATAAAAAAGTAATGATATAATAGTAATATAATTAAATATTTCAGTTTTTATAATACAGATTTTGCTTTCATCATGAGTCAACAAAAAACCCTAGAACTCAAATTTGATCAACAAAAACCATTTTCGAGTTATTCTTTTGCATCCGGAGCAGTCCGACGGGATGCAAGAGTTGGTTTGAATTTAAAGCTTGCCCTGGTAAATATTTGTGCGAGGTGAGAATAAGCCTGAGGAGGTTTTTTTTGTTTGTTGTTGTCTGCATCTGCTGGTGTGAAGAGTGAACCTGTGGAAGAACTGAATTTAGTGCTGAGAGTCACCTTCACACCCCACTGAGCGATTCTCCATCAGTGACGCTTCTGAGACTCAATAAGGCAAATAACTCGTCACACTTGTGTGCAGAATCTAATACACAAACATCATTAAAGACTAGGATACAAGAACCCTCATTATATTCAGGAATGGTGCTTTTGAACAGTTGAATAGCTGGTATAGACCTTATTCAGGTTAATGTGAAAGAAAGTACAGGTCATTCAATGTCATTGTGATGTGCAGGGTATGTCTTCCCATAGATTTTCAGTGGAAAAACCCTCTAAATCAGATGTGACCTATTGAACAGACTGTACCTCTATTCCTCTCTGCATGTTAAGCTGAACAATTTCTCTCTGGAGGTTTTTCAGGAATCCGTGGACTACTAACTGTGAGATGAATCTAGTGTGTGTTTGTCTTAATTTTGATAAGTGATGCTTTTTAAAGTGGTGTTGTGCTTAGTGATTCTGACATCAAAGCTGCTTTACTCCTGATGTGGACTTGTGGGAAGCCGTCCCAGAGTGTTCTGCTTTGTGGCTGTCAGGAGAACATTTCTTACCCCTTCACTCTTTTTATCAGGGAAGATGCAGCTCTCTCCACCTGCTGTGAAGTTACAGTACACTTTGAAAGAGTCTCTGGAACAGCCCTGGTTCGGATCAATCCAGTATTCACCTGAAAACAGAAACAAGGGCCATCGTAAGCTTTATGTATTGCTGATATTTTCAAACGAGAATCATTTAATACAGGGCTGAAAATCAGATTGTTTTAATTATGTGATTTGGCACTTAATCATTAATTGTAATTAATTGTGCGTCACTATGCATTCAATTAAAGCCTTCAAATTAAGATAATTCTTAGACAAATCTTAATTAGGGTTGCAAAGAGGCAGAAAAAGTATGGCATTACAGAATTTTTGTAAACTTTCGAGAATTTGCTTGAAAACTTTTTGGGAACATTTTTGGAAACTTTTGCAAATTTACCGAAAATTTTCTGCTGCTTTGTATCCTTAATTTTAATTAAATGCATTGTTTTAAATGTATTACATTTTGTTATTACATCTATATTGCTAGGTTTATTTTATTTTATTCTTACTTGCATCATGACTTTGGGTGTTGCGTGAACATTTTGGATAGTTGCTAGAGTGTTGCAAAGTGATTGCCAGGCCATTACTACTGTAAAGTGCAAAACTTGCCACCTAAATGTTTGGATGGTTACTAGGGTGTTGTTAGGCAGTTGCTAACTGTGTTCTGAGCGGCTACAAGAATGTTCTAGGTGGTTTATAGAAGGTTGCTAAGCCGCTATTGGAAAACATGAGTAGTGCTTGGCCATGCACAATGCATGACCTTAATGTCATAGTGGTTGCTAGGATGTGGTTTGGTTACTAATGTGTTCTAGTTATTTGATAGGCTGTAACTAGGGTGTTGTGGGTGGTTCACATGTTCTCTTTGTTATTTTCATTAGCATCATGGGCACCCTCTGTCTCTCTTTGTTATTGTTGTTTTTCCTGATGCTTTGTTTAAAACAATCATTAACACACTTGGAAATGTGTGTGTGTGCGAGAGATACACACCATCTGGGAAATCTGGGTGGCACAGCTGCAGGTCTTTGCAGGTGCGGGCGGGGTTACTCTGTGTGCCCAGCGGGTGTTTCATCTGTTCAATCTCTAGTTTGAGCGAGTTCAGTGAGCCAAATATCTCCTCCATGCCGTCCTCATAGTCTTTGTAGTTGGCATCTGCAGTGTCATCCATCATCTGGCTGGCGTCAATGTTCCTCTTTGCCCGTTTGGGGCTGGACTGCATGGGCAGAGGGTGGATGACATCACCAGGTGGACCCTAGACGAGAAAACAACCGTTAATATTCACATAAAGTGCGTTATTTAGAGCACATGTTAGTCCTGCTCGCTTATGCAAAATTCACCATCAAAATGTTTGGGTGGTTGTTAGGGTGTTGTTAAGCAGTTGCTAAGGTGTTCTGAGTGACTCTAATGTTTTCTGGGTGGTTGCTAAGGTGTTGTAAGGAGGTTGCTAGGCTGTTACTAAAAAATTGGAAAATGTGAGTGCAGCTTGGCCATGCAACATCTGTCACAACATTTGGGTGGTTACTAGGGTGTTGTTAGGCAGTTGCTAAGATGTTCTGAATAGCTGTTTGGTTTTTTTAGGTGGCTGCTAGGGTGTAAATAGGATGTTTTAGGTGGCTGTTAGGTAGTTGCTAGGCTGTTAATAAATAATTGGAAAATGTAAGTGTAGCTTTGCCATGCAAACTATGTCACAACATTTGGGTGGTTACTAGGGTGTTGTTAAGCAGTTGCTAAGGTGTTCTAATTGGCTGTTGGGGTTTTTAGGTAGATGCTACGGTGTAGATAGGATGTTTTGGGTGGTTGTTAGGGTGTTGTTAAGCAGTTGCTAAGGTGTTCTGAGTGGCTGTTGGTTTTTAAGTGGTTGCTAGGGTGTTGATAGGATGTTTTGGGTGGTTGTTAAGGTGTTGTCAGGCAGTTGCTAGGTTGTTACTGTATAATTGGAAAATGTGAGAGTAGCCCACTAGGAATAATAGTGTGCTGATAAGCAGTTGCTAAGGTGTTCTGAATGGCTGTTGGAGTTTTTTTAGGAGGTTGCTAATGTGTTGATAGTATGTTCTGGGTGGTTTTTAGGCAATTGCTAAGATAATTTGAGTGGCTGTCAGGGTTTTAGGGTTTCGTTTTTTTTTAGAGTGTTGCTAGGGAGTCACTAAATTGTTGGAAATTTTGAGTGTTGCTTGGCCTTACAAAATTCAGACAATTACTATGATTTTTCAAGTGGTTGCTAGGGTGTTGTGAGTGGTTGTTAGGGCACTACATTCTCAATGCTTCTAATTGTTTCCTGTTCTATGTCTCACTCTATAAATAAAAGTGGCATAAAAAAGCTCTGTAATAAAAACTACTGTAATAGACCTGAAAAATAACCGTATCTAGGATTATCCATCTAAACAATTAGACCTTTACACTGACATTAACTAAACACTTGCATTTCTCTCTGTGTCCTAAGGCTGAGTTACTCAGTGTGGAAACAGCAACCGACACAGTCTGTAGGTGTGAAATATCAGGGTTTCTCAAGGAAGCAAAATCCACTGGAGCTCTCAGAGGAACCTTACTGTAACAGATTTGCTTTACACCACATAATAGAGCTCAATTACACTTACGTAACATCTACTGCAGAATCATCTGTTTAAATATGCGCTTATCTCACAGAGGAATAACTCGTTTGTGTGTGGAGTTTTGGTTTGTTTTATAGTTCGGTTAAGTGTAGTTACGTACTGGAGGTCCAGGAGATCCTGGCACTCCAGCTTCTCCCTTCGGTCCAGTCTGACCCTATAAAGACAGAACCAGAAGTAGGCTTAGGCAAATCAGAGCTAATTTAAAAAATGATAAATGAATCTGCTAATTAAAATGCTAATTAAATTAACAAGAATAATTAAATAAGAACATGAACTTACAGATGATCCTTTAGCACCTTTAGGACCAGGAGGACCCTGAACAGAAGTGAAACATACATATAAATCATTATTAATTACATTTATATATACATAAATATATATAATAATTACATTTTATATAATTTTATATATTTATATATATATATATATTTTTTTTTAGAAAATCATGTAGAATATAATACTGATTCAAAGAACCCAAAGAACCACATTGCAACTGAAGTACCTTATACAGGCAATAAATGGTTCTTGATAAGAAAAAAGTTCTTTGCTGCACCACTGAAGAACTTATTTATCAAAGTATACATAATAAAGGATTTCAAAAAAACATCAGAAATGGTACCGGGAGACCAGGAGGTCCAATGGGTCCAAGAGGTCCAGCAGGTCCTGAAATACCCTGTAGAAAAAGGCCGATATTGAAGACTGCTTTATGAAAATACAAAAGATTTAGAAAGTTTATACTAGGTTTTTATTGCTGTATGTGTGTGAACATGTTTCCATACAGTGTCTCCTTTGAGTCCTGCAGTTCCCTCTGGACCTGGCAACCCTCTGTCTCCCTTCTCTCCTTGTTCTCCTGGAGGTCCGATGAGTCCAATGAGACCAGGATGACCCTGAAATTCACAGCAAGATTACTAAACACATCTGTACATCATGAACATACTCCTTCATACTCCGCAATGCCAGCCAGAGTTCAATGAATGTACTGGACGTGTAAAGTCATTACTACAGCTGTGTTCCAAACACTAGAGTGTCACCTACCTAGACCAGAGCATTAAGTCATAGTGCAGTTAATTAAGAGTATCAAAGATGGATTTGCTTCTCTCACCTTTTCACCTTTAATACCAGTATCTCCCTTCAGTCCAGGCAGTCCAGGAGGACCCTGAGAGAGAAACATAAGAAGAGTGAGGACTGTAGATTGTCATTTAAGACAGTAATGAACTCATTCTCAGAGGAATGTCATGTCGGTACCATCGGTCCAGGAGGTCCATCGGGTCCGGGAGCACCGGGCAGCCCTTGTTCTCCCTACATCAGGATCAAACAGATCCATTTATTAACACAAAATCACTGCCTTAGACAGAACTGTATATGAGGTCTGGTGTTATATTCTGGGGGTTGAAAGGGTGATTTTTACTATAATTCTTATTTCAACCAAAAGAAAAAAAAAGAAATTTTATTGTAGTATTATGTCTGTATTTTCGTTATAGTAATATGTTTTATTATAGTATTCTATTATATATTATGAATGAAGGTACCAAAAGATTTTTGCACTGTGGCTTTTTTGTTTTTAAAGCAGCATGAATTAACATACAAGGATGTGTGTATATATATATACACTTTATAATTGGTATATGCAGTGTGTGTATATATGTTTACACACAAATATATAAATTATTTTATATATATTATAATTTTTTGGCATGATAAAGACATTTTGGAGCATTAATATATAATTGGTATTTTTATGTTACAAAATAGTTTTTAATCATTAATAAAACACAATTTAAATACACTTTTTTTGCATTGCAGAAATTTGCAGAAAAGTTTTTTTTTTTTTCTTTTAAACCTTTAGAATCTTTCATCTGCAGCTCCAATTTCTTGATTTGCATATATAAAATTGCTTCATTGATCTTAAAATAAAAATCTTTAAAAAAAAAATAAATAAATGCTACAATACTAATTAATTGGCCTTAAAATAAAAATCTTCATGGTTTCATTCATTAATACTATGTTGTAGTACTAATACAAATACTAATGGTACTTTATTTGTAATTTAAAATAGTAAAAAAAAAAGTAATTACATTTATTAAAATAGTGAATTACTAATAGTAATTTAAATATGTAATTTTTGTCGCATTCTAGGAGAAAGTTATTTTTTCTTCAAATAAAAGTAATTTTTTTTACAATAAGTAATCTTTGTCGCATTCTAGACGTAAGAAAGTTATTTTTTAATCTTAAAATTAAAATCTTAAATTTTGGGCTCCAAATTCTATATAATATATATTTAGATTTTTTTTAATTCTGTAGTGAAATATGACCCGGGTAGGTTATATACAGGCTTTGTGAGATTGACAAATACATTTGGCATATAATGTGACATTAGGACATAATGAGCTGTATAAGGCTGTCAGGCTGCTCCATCAGCACTCACCACTGGTCCAGGCACACCTCTCAGACCCTCAGGACCGGGCTTTCCAGGGCTTCCCTGAGGACCAACTGGACCTGTCTTACCAGGTGGACCCAGGAGACCAGACTCGCCCTGATTCAGACACACAACCACTGAAACCACTGCCGTAATGAATTTGTAGCTGTACTGTAAAGTTAATGAACGTGTGTACGACTGTGTGAACATTTGCATGTTACCTTGGCACCCTTCTCTCCCTGTCTCCCTTCAGGTCCAGCAGGTCCATGAGGTCCCTAAAGAGAAAGAATGAAAATTGAGAGCCATACTGTATATGGGTATATTTTCTTTAAAATATATTAATGTTAATGGACAGTCAGCAATATTTTTGATAAATATTTTAAATAAAAAGTATGTTTATAAGCATTACTCACTCTCTTTCCTGGAGGTCCAGTGGGGCCAGTTTCACCAGTAGGTCCAGGGGATCCCTGAAAGAAACAACATTATAAAAGCAGCAAACATTATAAAACACTTTTGCATGCAGCCGAGACCAGAGATGTCTAATGATAGTGTTTAAATCATACTCACCGCCTGACCAGGCTCTCCATCATCACCCTTATCTCCAGGAGCACCATCCAAACCCTGTAGGGCAAGAAAAAGAATGTCACTTCCCGAAACAACCTGAAAATGTCTCTGTAATAACTACAGTTTGCATGAATAGTACTTACATGTGGACCAGGCTCTCCAGGAGGACCAGGATCACCAGGGAAACCACTTGGACCCTGAAAACCAAACCAAATATTTGAACATTTTAATATTTGATCAGAAACATGGTAACTGCAAGGTCTCATAAGCATACAGAGTAAGGTACGACAAGCTATGCTTATTGACCAATTAGCATGCAGAACCTATAATAAGCTCTCAAAAATAAAGGTTTTAGAAAACATTAAAGTATATCTTAATTTCTTATTCATATTTTAGTTTGAACTTTATTTTTGTGCGGATGTAAAAAGAATGTAAATAAATTTGGTTTTAAAAAATGTTAAACGTTTCAAACTTTATTTAAATAAAATAAAAAAATCATACATTTTAATACAGTATACTGTATATTGTTGGATATAATGCAGTGTTTATTTTTGGCCCACAGCCTTCAATCAAGTTTGCTTTTTGGCCTATCATATTAGGCAAGGTTCGTTTAGTGTAAGAATAATAAAGAGGATAGATAAATAAGATACAGTACAATATTAAACGTTTGGGCACCTCTGTTATATGCTATTTTGTCTAAATAAAAAATAAGTAAATAAATGGGCAAAATTTTAATTCTATATTCTTCTAATTAAAAAAATAGCAAAATAAATACATAAAACAATTACGTGAATTTACGCATCGTAACATTATAATGTATGATACAGTATGAAATGTTAACTATGAGGTTTGCCAAATTTACATTTAACAGTGTTATCAAATTATTAGTGTTTGTAAAGATTAACTTTGAGTGCACATTAGATGTCGGTAACGATCACTGAAAGGTTACCTTTGCTGGTTAAATATGGTTCTTCTATGGCATTGTTGCAAAAACCTCCTTTTGGAAGCCTATATTTTTCAAACACCAAATAAAGCATTAATGATAAGAACATACAGGACTTCCTTTAGGACCATCATCTCCTGGTGGTCCTTTTGGTCCGGGGGGCCCAGCAGAACCAGCGGGTCCGGCTTCTCCCTTTTCTCCTCGCTCTCCTCTTGGACCCTAAAACACAAACACGAGATATGAGATATGAGTGTGTTATTTTGAGACTTTCAGCTTTTTTTTATTTTTTAGAGTTTTGCATATGTGCGTTTGGTTTTTTGCCGTACTGGAGGGCCGACGTCTCCCTGTGGGCCTGGTTCTCCTAGTTCACCGGCGTCTCCCTACAGAAAAACAGAGAGAGATGTAAGTAAAGCATGGCAGGGCTCTTTTTTTCTCCTCAACACTGCAGAGATTTTGTCCACCGGACAGAAGAGTACATCAGCATCATTATTCACAGTCTCATCAGCAAATCTGCTTTCCTCTGCAGAACGCCACATTCTAGCATCAAAATCTGCGCAACATCGATATTCAGACCAACAAACGACCTTGATGACGACCAGTTCCATCAGACATCAGTCGAGAATGGAAATCATTATATGTATCCAGACACTTCTGAATTGGAGCGATGACACTTTGAAAAATGAACTAGACTTTGCCGTTTTCTGAGGAAGTGAGTGATGCTCATGAAAAACTAGCTGTCATTATGCTCCAGAGTTGTTGGTGGTTGTTTAGCATTATTGTTTAGCATAAGTCAAAAGAGCCCATCCACAGGTTTCTATAATACTCTGGTCTATGTACATCAATGCGTTTTTTTTAATGCAAATTATATTATGACTGATTCCCAATAATTGGCTGAAAATAAAATTCTATACTATTTATTGTAAATTTTAATAAATTAAATTATTAAATAAATGGTCAAAATTAAACAAATATTCTAAATAAAAAATATCAAATAAAAATTAATTAAATTAAAGCCCACAAGGCTATAGGCGCCGACATTATTTATTTATTATATAATTTAATACTTATTTAATACTAATTAAATAAATAAATGGCCAAAATTACATTTCTATACTATTCTGCCTAAATAAAAAATACAAATAAAGAACTAAGTAAATAAATGGCTAAAATGAAAAGTCTAAATAAAAAATAAATAAATAAACCATTTTATTGTTCTATTTTGTTTGATTTCAATAATTATTTTCATGCAATGACTGATAGCCAGTAAATGGCTGAAATTAAAATTGTATACTATTTTGTCTAAATAAAAAAGTTTAAAATGAATCAATTCTGTACTATTTTGTCTGAACAAAAATATAAAATAAATAAATAAGTAGATGAAATTAGAATTCTCTACTATTTTGTCTGATAAAAATATTTTTAAAAGAAACAATAAAAACCAACATGTAAATAAATAAATAAATGACCATAATTAAAATTCAATAGTATTTCATCTAAATAAAAATAAATAAATGAAAACAATTGTTTTATGCAACAAGTGAATTTACGCATTACAACATTATAATTATAATTATAATACACCTTTATTTGACCCTCTAACTCTAGCACTTTCTTATTCTATTTTAATTCTATGCTAGCTACGTGTACTGCATTAGGCTAACCGAGACTTGTCATTTGCACTTATATATTGTTGCTCTTTTGTTAGTTTTGACTGCTTTTATTGTCCTCATTTGTAAGTCGCTTTGGATAAAAGCGTCTGCTAAATGACTAAATAAATAAATAATGCACTTAGAAATTATAGTGTTATTAAATTGTGCTTTTAAAGTTTTATAAAATTATTAGTGCTTTCAAAGATTAACTTTAAGTGAGATGATGGCAAAGGTAATCAAAATGAGCATGCAAATATCCCAATATCAACTGCTATTGATTCAAAAAGGAATAATAGTGACGCTTCCCTTAGCAAACCACTAATAAAACACTATTAAATCAATCAGTTTGTGACTAAACATTCAATATCGTCCATCCTCACCCTGTGCTTTCTCTCGTGCTTATAAACATGTTTATGAGTTATTTTCTGTGCTCTTAGAGGCTGTTTAAGTGTGTGTGTGTGTGTGTGTGTGTGTGGATACTTCTGCACGTCTGCCATATTGAGGGATTAAGAGTCTCTCAGCCGCTCTGAAGTGCTTCATTCGTTCATGTGTGTGTGTGTGTGTGTGTGTGTGTGTCAGACTGACTTTACAACACGCATTACAATTACGTATTTCATGGCACACTCATTTTATGCGTATTTGGCGCCACCTATTGTTGTGGGTGTATTATTGACATGTCAAAGTCTAGACCCTGAATATAAGACGACCACGTTTTTTCAGATGTATTTCCAAGAAAAAAACATCGTCTTATATTCGGGACAATACGGTAATATCGCTTAACATTTTGCATTAACATTTTTAATTATGTTGCATTATTTTGTTAAAAATGTCTATTTTTATGACAAACGTCAGGAAAAACAACATAATTTATTTTCAGCTATATTATCATTATTATGAAATCATTCAGATAAGAATTAACAAAGCTATCGATGCATCTACACAGTTTATAGTATTTGCTTAAAAAATTACATTAAATTCTTCTTCTTCTTACTATTATTATTAATAATAATAATAAATCATTAATTACAACTAACAAAATTACTGATACATTTGCTCATTTAGTCATTGCTTACCAATTAAATTAAAATACATTTTTATAATTATTATATGCTATATATACAGATTTATTTTTATTAATAATAATAAATCACTCTAATTAGAATGAACACAGCTATTGATACATTTACTTGTTGTATAGTTACTACTTAAAATTATTCTTGTTGTTATTATTATTATTATTAAATCACTCTAATAAGAATTAACAAAGCTATTGATACATCTACACTGTTTATAGTATACATGCTTAAAAATGAAATGAAATTATTATTATTATTATATTATTATTTTTATTATTAATAACAATAAATCACTCTATACAACATTTACTTGTTGTATAGTCACTATTTTAAATTATTGTTATTAATAATATCATCATTATATACTACATATACATTTATTATTAATATTATTAATAAATTAATTAGAATAAACAAAGCTATTGATACATTTACTAGTTGTATAGTCACTACTTAAAAAATATTATAATAAACTATATATACAAATGTAATATTATTACTGCAAAGCACTCTAATTAGAATGACCTTATCTACTGATATCCAAATGGTGTACAGTCATTGCTTACTCATTAAATGAAATTAAATCATTTTAATTAGAATGAACAAAGCTGTCTGTCATCATAACTCTGGTTAGGCTAATGTTGCTGGTCGTGAAGCTCAAACCAAGCATCAGAGACACTGTGTTACACTTTTTGAGGATAATAATCAATCAATGGCTTACTTACAGTCTGCTAATTAAACTGAGAAGTATTTAACTTACAAAAACACTCACAGACACACGAGCAAACACATATAGAGCTTTAACTCTAGACAGAAGCTCCAGGAAACCTCAGTCACAAGACACACGCAGATCCTGAACTGACTGAGCGCACGCACACACACACACACACACACACACACACACACACACTGGGATCATTACTGGCACATTCATCATTAAGGACGTTGGTTTCTAATTAAAATTCGAAATGATAGTGTTTTGTTCATGGTGCTGATGCGGATCACCTTCTCTCCCACGGCTCCTGGGTTGCCGATTCCTCCCGGGGGTCCCTGTGGTCCATCAGCTCCTGGGGGTCCGGAGGGGCCTCTGGGGCCAGGAGGACCGGGTGGACCCTGAGAGAAAAGTCAAGAAAATGCAGAAAGAAAGCTCAGTTTCTATTAAAATACAATTACATTTTATCAAAATGACTGTATGGATGTGGATGTGTACCATCTGACCGACGTCACCAGTCTCTCCCTTCTCTCCCGGGGGTCCAGGCAAACCCTGCACACAAACACAACTAGTTAAAACCCACCGCAACTCAAACTAACCCGTTAAATCCTGTCCTAGCTACATACAGTCCACATTAAATGCTATTTGCAGTCCATTTTACTTCCACAATCTGACATATTTCCAAGGTGAGACTTTTATCCATCTGGAATCAATTTGCTGATGAATTAAAAAAGTATATATTATATTGTGGACTATGGTGCAATAACGGTTTTAGATGGTGATATCATGGTATTTAATGACTATCATATTCACATACAATTCCATGCACAAGTTCAGGGTCAGTAAGAGTTTTTAATGTTTTTGAAAAAGTCTCTTATGCTGACCATGGTTGCATTTATTTGATCAAAGATACAGTAAAAACAGTAAAATTGTGAAATATGATTACATTTTAAAATAACTGTTTGCTATTTGAATATATTTCATTATATTTCCAAATTGTAATTTATTCCTGTGATGCAAAGCTGAATTTTTCAGCATCATTTCTCCAGTCTATAAAAACATTTCCATTACTTGAAATAAAATTAACGTTAACTGAAATCAAATAAAATATAAAAAAGACTTAATCTTATTTTATTTCAACTAGTTGCCAAGGCAATATTTCACATTTTTGTATAGTTTAAATTGAAGTACTAAAATAACTAAAACTGAAATAAAATTAACAAAAACTCTCATCACATAAAAAAAAACTATTTAAAAATGTTAACTGAAAAACAAATATAAAAAGGCCTTAATATAAAAAAGCCTTAAACATATTTTTATCAGCTAGTTGCCAAGGCAACTATATAGACATATAGACTATATAACTATATAGACATATTAAAAAATAAATAAAAATGTAAATAAATAAAAACTTTAACTAAAATAAAAGAGGTAAAAAATAAGAATAAAATCTAAATGAAATTTTTGTTACTAAAGTACTAAAATAAAAAACAAAAACTGAAATAAAAATGTATAAAAAAAAATACATAGGCATTAAAGAACTAATAAAAATGATAAAAACAGCTGAATGATTAAAATATTATTCAAATGAAAATTAGTAAAAATAAAAGTGGTAAATATAAGGATTCCAATAAAAAAACTTACAATTAAAATAAATTTAAATATGAGTTGTAAATAAAAGGATAACATCTAAATCAATTTAATCAATTAATAAATTAAATTAATCAATTAATAAAAAACTATGATATCAAACTATGACATCAAATATACTGAAATAACAGTGTTTTAAACAAGCAGAAAGCAAACTTTGAAGTTCTAACCTGAAGGCCGACAGGTCCTGGTGGTCCTGGGAAGCCTCGTGAACCCTCATCTCCCTTCTGCCCAAACAGACCCTGCTGACCTCTGGGACCTGGCTCTCCATCAGCACCCTGCAGGGAGGAAGTGACATCACTAACACCGCTTATACCGCAGCAAGACACACGGCATGTAAGAAATGGCTGACTTCATTATATACTCACAGGTGGACCCGGCTGACCTGGAGGACCTTGGCTACCGACGGGCCCTGGAGGGCCCTGAAGAACGGCAGAAAGAAGGAGAAAAAATAAATGAGAAGAAAGAAAAAGCAAGCAAGCACAACTCATTGATTTTCTTAACAAAGACAACATCTACATTCATAACGGCGCAGTGGTAATAACAGAACGAATGATCGTCGTGGGAGAACGACACAAACAAATAGGACTCATTGAATAAATGATGTTTTCAGACTCAAGGGAAATGGAAATGTAAACAGTAAATTCAGAGTGACTCACCTGCTCGCCCTTGTCACCTTTGCTTCCCTTCTGTCCCGACTCTCCAAGCTCGCCCTGTCACAATAACACAGCATTTACATGTGCAAATATCTGATATCTCAAATAATATCTAGCAAATATATAAAAATGTCACATGATACAATAATACAAATCCAGTATCTGTTTTTTTGGGACAAAAATCACTTCTGCTCACCAAGGCTGCATTTATTTGATCAAAAACAAACAGTAAAATTGTGAAATATTATTGCAATTTTAAATAGCTGTTTTCTATTTGAATATATTTTAAAATTTAATTTATTTTTGTTATGCAAATCTGAATTTTCAGCATCATTACTCCAGTCTTCAGTGTCACATGATCCTTCAGAAATCATTCTAATATGCTGATTTGCTGCTCAAGAAACATTTCTATTATTATCAATGTTAAAAAGAGCTGTGTTGCTTCATTTTTATGGATATCGTGCTTTTTTAGGATTCTTTGATTAACAAAGTTCAAAAGAACAGAATTGATTTGAAACAGATTTTTTTTGTGACATCAATAATGTCTTTACTGTCATTTCTGATCAATTTAATACAACCTTTTAGAATAAAAGTATACATTTTGAACAGTAATGCATTCATATTCATATGGTATTTACATGAAACTCCAAGGAAAATCAAATAATACAATGATATTACCATTGTATACGTTGAAACAAAAACATGGTATTAACATGGTACATGCCTAAAAAACATGGTATTGCCAGGGTAAGCAATAATACTCTACTATACTTTTTGGTCTGTTTTTTTTTTTGTTTGTAGGAAACTAACAGTTATTTATTCCTCTGACTATATTTCCCAGAAGGCTTTGCACCTGTCACACGTACATCCTTCAAATATCGCTCACACCTTAAAACTGCCAATGCTAACACATGTTGGTGTCACACACACCCTAAATCTGTATGTGTAGGTGTGTGTGAGCGTGTCATGGTGATGTCCCTGACACGTTCACCTAAGTGTTAAATGAGATCCTTTCCAATAAGACTAACTGCATATTTGATTCCCTGCACTGTAATATCATGTACACTTCAGTATCACATATATTTCTTATTTGAATGTGACATTGCTATGTTGCTAATCTAACGGTTTGATACTCTAATAAACACAAACCATACACAAATACAGAAAACACCTGGTATTTAAGGAAATAAATGTATTAACATGCTAACTTATCGCGATTAAATATTAATTTAAAATGAAAAAAATGCCTAGTATTTATAATCTAAGCTTCTTTTGATTCTCAAATAATTGACCATGCACAGAGCAAATATTGAACCATCCATCCATTCCTCTAGAGAAAATATTGATCAGACAGCGGAGTCATTTGATCTATGTGTGTGTGTGTGTGTGTGTGTGATGTGACCTTCACTTAATCATCTATCAAACCCATCAGATTCATCCATGATCATCAATTTCATGCCCACATCTCTCGGTCTTTAATTCATTCATTTCTCTTCTCAAAGCTTCTTCTATCAATTCATTTTCTTCTGTACCTTATCACCGTCCTCTCCCGGGGGTCCGATGGGTCCGGCCGGGCCTGGAAGTCCCACAGGTCCCTGAATACCGTCTCTACCAGCTGGGCCTTGAGGTCCTTTCTCGCCCTAATATGAGAGGATATACTCAGTTATTGAATCATTTGACAGTGAAATGACGCTCAGAAATGAAGACGGAGCGTGTTTGAGGAAGTACTCACAGGTCCACCTTTCTCTCCAGTGGGGCCCGGGGGTCCTTGAGGTCCGGGTCGACCTGGGAGGCCGGTAGGTCCAGCTGGGCCAGCAGGACCACGTTCACCAGGAGAACCCTATGAATTTGTGAATATGAAATTTCATAACTGATATACTTGCAACGACTGCCATTTGCTAATGAAAGCTTGATGATCTGTTTGATTAATTATGCATTTGTTCTTGAAACAAATTCATATGGAGGCGTTGACAGCCGGCATGCATATATGATTTTTAATGCAGAAATAAATGCTGTGTTTTCAAGTTCCTGATTATATAATAATTACGCATATTGCGACATTATATAAGATATCAGTAAATCTGAATATTCAAAATCCTGGTGTCGAGACTGCATGAAAAGAGAGAGAAAAGATGAACAGATAAACCTTTTGATCGTTTTTAATCATAAACATGCACTAGTCTGACTTAGATTTTTCCCTTTATTTATTACTATTTGCCACATTCATTATTATATATTAAAATATTGAATATTGAATATATTAACTAATTTAGTATTTAATATTTAATATAAATATTCATATTTGAGCGTCTTCTTTCAATCACACTCATTAATAACACTGTTTAAGATGCTCACATGTACACTACCATTCAAAAGTTTAAGGTTAGTAAGATTTTGTAATGGTAATGGAAGACATTGCTTTATTTACTTTATTTATTTTACAAGGCATTATTTCTTTGATCACAAATTCAGTAAAACAGTAATATTACGAAATGAAATAAGTGCTTTCTGTTGCAATATATTCCTTTAACAATTCTTTGATGAATAGAACGTTTAAAAAAATGCAGTGTTTATTTGAAATAGTAATCTTTTGTAACACTATGAATGTCCTTGCTGTCACTTTTGATGTATTTAATGCATCCTTGCTGTTATTTTCTTACTGACCTTGGTGATGCTTTTTCTGCACTATCCACTCTAAAACATGAATTAAATAGTATACAAAACTAATTTCCAGCACATATATAAAAAAGTAAGTCCTAATGTTTGCCTGGTACTGTAGATATACTGTAAATCATCCATGTCATACGGACTAAATCACTGTACTCACTGAAAACCCAGTGTGTGGAGCAAAAGGAGAAAGGAGAAAGAGAAAACAAGGTAAACAAGCGAATAACAAAGCAGTTGGAGAAGAGATGGACAAAATGAGAGAGCGTGTCTACTTACAGCGGGTCCAGGTGGCCCTGGAGGTCCTTCATTCCCTTTCAAACCTGCTGACCCCTGCAAACACACACAAAAAACTGCTGAACGCACACAAACACATCCATGTGCTGCTTCACGACACATTTGATGGCTAGAGGTGACACGGGGATGTACTATTTATACTGAACAACAAACTAAAAGCTCAAAACATGAAAGAGAGATGCTCGCCTGTGCAGAATTTAAGGGCGAGTTACACAGAGTGTAATACTTGGGGTTAGGGGTTTGTTCGTGATACTCACCACAGGGCCTGGTAAACCTCTCTCGCCTGGGAACCCTCTGAGTCCTGGAGGTCCGTCTTTACCCGTAGGTCCTGCAGGACCTGGATCTCCCTATAAAGACCAGATGTGAATTGATGAATAGATGAATGTATTTGGATCTGTGTATATGTAACTTTATTGTGTGTAAATGTTGAAGTGTGTATGGCCTGAATTTGTTCGCACCTTTGCTCCCTCTTTTCCTGCAGGTCCAGGTAGACCCTGTTCACCAGGTGGTCCTGGGGGTCCAGGGTGGCCTCGCTCTCCCATTGGTCCTGTTTCACCTGTTGGTCCCTGAACAGAAAGAGAGATGGATTATGGGTAAGGTAGTGGGGTAGATGAATCTTTAGGTTGACAATGAATCAACTCAACTGGCGATTCTTAGTGAATCAATTCAAAACAGATTTGAAATTTCAGAACGGCTTAATTCACCAGTTTTCGTATTGCTATTTTAACAAAATATGATTCATTCAAATTATAACATTTTAAATCTAAATGAAAAATTAGCTATGACTTATGATATATATTAAAACCTGAAAATTCAAAAATGAAAAGAGAGAAAATGTGAAATAAACCTTTAAAGATAACCCTATAAGCATTTATCATTTACAACTATACGCTAGTTAGACACAACTACTTATTTGACTTTATTTATTACAAATTTTCCACATTTTATTTTAATAGTAATTAATAAATATAAAAATTAACATTAATATTAAATATAGTACTTGACATTGAAATACTAAATTTGATATAAAAATGTATATTTATATTGAAGTGGGGTAGATGAATCTTTGGGTTGTCACTGAATCAATTCAATTCCAATTTAATTTGCAGAATGGTTTAATTCACCTCAGCAAAGCAATTTGCAAAGTTTGCAGATGATTAATTTATGTATATTGCTACTTTAACAAAATAAGACTAATTCATATGCAAACATTTTAAATCTACAGCAAAACAAATAATTCATTATTACGAAGTCATATTTAAAGGTCGATTTTTAATCGATGCATCTGGAACACAATGAACGGTTGTGTTCAAAAGTGTGTTTGTACAGTATAATCAAGGAAAGCAATAAAAAAGTCTGGAAAACATATATTAATAAAGATGCTACAGGTGTTTCAGGAAGATCAGTGGTTATGCAAATTATGCAACATGAAGAGCGAAAGAAAGAAAATCAGATTATATGCATCCATTTGCATGGCAGAGCATGTGTACTTGAACATCCATATGTGTGTGTGTGTGTGGCACTGTTGAAACCTGTGCCCACCTCAACATTTGCATAAAAAGCAGAATATCATGATTGTTTATGAATAATTCATTACCCAGTCAGGGCCAACATCTAACCGCATAAACAAAAAGCATGTCAGGAGACAAAGCACAGACAGGCCAACAAACGGCCCATATGTGACCTAATGGAGCCATTATGATTCCCCGGTGACAACCTTAGGACACCTTTAAGATAATCTAATGAGCGAGTGATGGCTGGTGTCAGCCTCATGAATATGTAGCACGTGTCACTGGCCTCTGCCTGTGGTAGCCACGCTGGAAAAACAGATGGGTGTGTGGGGTGTGCTGTTTTCTAAGCTAAGTGCTTTAGAATGTTTTATTCTTCTGCGGATGGTAGATGCAGCCTAGAGTGGAGCGCATCTAATGCCTTCAGAGCATTAAAGATACAATAGAGTGTAGAAGCAGCTTAAAATGCTTGAAAACAGCCAAAATTAGCATAGCACTGGAAAGCAGATTTTTACATTTCCCGAGGGGCTCTTGCTCGTTCAAAACTCCCTGTCACTTCACCAGGTTGTATTGCTTTGTGGTTGCTAGGGAGCTCTGGGCGGTTGCTAGGTGGTTTCTTGCTGGTCCAGGTCAAAAGGTCACAGGTCTTTGAACTATTTTGATCCTGGATTAATGAAATGTCTGGACAATGTTGTTTTAGTATTATTTATATACTATTGCATTCATGTTTTGAATTTGCTTTTATTTTATTATTTTCAGATTTCAAGTTTGAATTTTTTTTTGTTCAAGTTTTAGTGATTTGGTTACGTGTTTGTGCTTTTGTTATGTCATTTGTTTTTTTGTTTTAAGCCATAAGTCATTTTTAATTTCAATTTTAGTAATTTTATTAATACAGCTTAAACATTTATTTCAGTTATTTCATGTCAAGGCAACATTTCTAATTGTATTTTTAGTTTTTCATCTAACATTTATATATATAATTTTATTTCAATTTTATTTTAATTCCAGATAATTTTTAATAGTTTTAGTTAACAATGACAACACTGTTTAGTGATTTTAGTAATTCAGCTTAATATATGTATTTCAGTTATTTAATTTAATTTACTTTTTTTTTATCTAATATTTATATTTAATTTTATTTCAACTTCATTTTAATTGCAATTTTTTTTTTAATAGTTTTAGTTCATCCCATATTTCATCGTCATATTTCATCCCAAAATCAAATAAAAAAATAATTATTATTTTGCATAAAGAAAATTTGATTTTTGAAGACTTATTGTGCATTGCTTTATTATTTTGATGACAGTTATGTTTTCTGCCATTCCTTTGTCACTATTACAAAAAAATTTCAAAATTTTTTTGAAAAAAATTATATTTAAAAAATACTAACACAGTAATTAAAATCATCTTTTCAATTTTAATACTAAGAATAAAAATGAAAAATGGAAAAATGGAGATTCAAATTAGAAAAAAAAATCTTTAATTGTCCTAAAACCGATTTTTCTAAATATACTGTATGTATATATATATATATATATATATATTTTAGGTTTTAAGAATTGAACTTAAATTTAATGTTAAAGTGACAACCTACTGAAGCACTAAAAAGATTTGTACCCTTATAATACACTGATAAATCCCCCAAAAATAAATAAATAAATAACACAGTTAGTAATGAGCAGGGGTGTAAAAAGTATTCCAAGAATTAAGTGAAAGTACAGATACTCAGTGAAAAATTTACTCAATTAAAAGTGCAAGTATCTGACCAAAAACATACTTAAGTAAAAGTAAAAAGTACAAGTTTAAATTGTACTTGAGTATTACAAAATTAGAAGTAACAAGACAAAAAAAAAAAAAGAGAGAGAGAGAGAGAGAGAGAGAGAGAGAGAGAGAGAGAGAGAGGAAATCAGGACAGATGATTGGATGAAAGAAGGATTTCTATAGTTATTTCTAGTGTTAACATCACTTACTGGTGGGCCCTTAGGGCCGGGGAATCCAGTAGGTCCTGCTGATCCTAACGGACCCTGTAAGACAGGACAGAAAAGAGCGTTAAATCTCTCTCTCTGAAGCAATAATCAATACTTTGGAAGGATTTGATTATTATTTATACCGTACCCGTTCACCGGGTGGTCCTGGGGGGCCGTCGCTTCCTGAGTTGCCCTGTGAAGGAGGGGAGGACAAACAAAGGAGAAAAGGGAAATTAAACAGAACGTTTTAATATTTCAGAATGTTTGTATAAACATCCATGCAAATGCGATTAATTATTAATATCGTAAAACTTATGCTTATTGCCCGAGGTAATGAGTGCCATTAAAGATTTGTTTGACTGATAGAGGATATGCAGATTGGTAAAATCCCTGTTGCATTTGGATTCGCTCCAGCTGAGCCGTGGAGACAAACCTTGCGTTTTGAAATGTAATAGGAGCACCATTTGCTCCTGTCAACACGTTTAGCTTTCACAGCACAACAAATTATGAAAGAGCTTTAAAATCTCCTGAAGCCTGAGATGTTTTCTTTCAGTCAGTCAGGGTGTGGGGTGCTTTTCCTAATTGAATTTTTATGTGCCAAACACTTGTTTTATGTACGCTTGAATGCATGCATGATATGATTTTCTTTGTGTTTTTACATTTGCATGTCATATTATTTATTTACTAAGACAGAAGACCCTGAAAAGGGGCTTTTCCTCAATATGTCATCATCTCATTTCATTATATAATCTTACAAATGCAGAATAGTGATGAAAAAGGACAGTCTCACCTTTGGTCCTGCTTTACCAGTTGGTCCCCTCGGCCCTCTTTCACCACGGGGTCCCTACAGAAACGATCACAAGAAGGATGAGAAAGCAGTGTGTGAAATCAGTCCTAAACTGATCAGCAAAAGGGCACGTCTTGTTTGTTTTTGTCCTAACTTTGTTGCCTTACCGTGGGTCCTCTCTGTCCTCGGGGTCCCGGCTTTCCTGCTGTCCCCTGTTTGTGAGAGAGCATAACGTGAATTAATGGAAAAATAAAAAACAAATATATCTCAGTTCCCTATTATTACTTTTATTATTATTATTATTTTATTTTTAAAAGATATTATAAGGAATACATTCTAATAAAATAAGAAGCATAAGCATAAATTTTTTTAAAGATATTTGTTATATTTAATAAATTCTAATAATATAAATATTTTAATTAACAATAATAATTAAATTGTGCTTAGCGTGAATAATTATCAATATAACATTATTTATTCCTAAAGGATATCTATGTTATATTTAAAAAATTCCAGTAAAATAAATATATAAATATTTTTAAATTAACAATAATATATAATAATTAAACTGTCCATCGAGTGAATAATTATTAATTTCATATTATTTATTTTTTAAAGGTATTTGTTACATTTAAAATATTAAAATATTATAAATACAATAATAATATATAACAATTAAACTACACTGTATACACAATTATTAAAACTGAATACTATTTTTGTTTTAATAAAAAATATTACCTAAAATTTAGGAGAAGTAGAGATAACTAAATAAATGTGTGCTATTAAATTCTTACGCTTCACTTTCTGTTCAAATGCTCTTTTCAGCGAATTCAGTCATTAAAAATGAGGGTCATTATTTGTGTAATTTAAACAAAACCATAAGAAATATTTCTTTCAGCCTAGTAGAACATTGTGATTAATTTGATTATCTGTAGATTATATTAGCATCTCTCCATCTCGTGAATACTTCATGCAGATAGTTATGGTGGAACAAAGAATGTTTTGCATCAACAAATGAATGCAGTCTGAGAGTGTGTGTGTGTGTGTGTGTATGTGTGTGTGTGTGTGTTTAATGGCTTGCGAGAATAAGAGGTTTTTGGATTATAATGTGTTTATGGGAGACTGCACTGTCTTCCTAATGGCAGCCGGAACATTGTGATTAATTTGATTATCTGTAGATTATATTAGCATCTCTCCATCTCATGAATACTTCATGCAGACAGTAATGGCGGAACATAGAAAGTTTTGCATCAACAAATTAATGCAGTCTGAGATTGTGTGTGTGTGTGTGTGTGTATTTAATGGCTTGAGAGAATAAGAGGTTTTTGGATTATAATGTGTTTATGAGAGACTGCATTGTCTTCCTAATGGCAGCCGGCTGCTGCTCTCAGCTTAAATGTGATGATATACAGCCAATAAAGCATCCGTGCGGAGAGCTGGGGGTTTACTCAGGGCCTTTCCCAGCTTTTCTTGGCCATAAGGGCTCTGATAACACACACACTACAGCTCAGAGACGGTTAGCTCCCATACACTGAGACAAACCCCTATAGTGTGCACAAGCTGAAATGATTACTTTTATTACATTCTTTGATGGTGTTTTTGTCATTTTTATTTATTCTGCCTATGGTATGACATGACGGTGAGTAAAAGATGACAATTTTCATTTTTAGGCATTGTGCTATTTTAGTATTATTTATATACGTTTTAGTATTATTTATATTTTTTTATAATTTAAGTTTTCTTTTTAATTTTGCTTTAATGTTTAGTTTTTGGTTGGATTTTTTTTGTTTAAATATTACTATTTAGGTTCACTTTTAATTCAGTTTTAGTTTTTGCTTATTTTTATATTTTCAAAAAAAAATTTTTTGTTTAACGTTTAGTAATTTCATGTTCTTTTGTCATTTATTATTGTTATAATTATTATAAATATTCCTATTTGGGCTATATATTTCCTATTTATTTTATTATTTTCAGTTTTCAGTTAATTTATAGTTTTTCCATCTAATATTTATAATGTATATTACTTCAGCTTTATTTCAATTAATATATTTTTAACAGTTTTTGATTTAGTTAAATATTCCCCTAATGATGCTTCTGAATTTCTGAATTGCGTTGTATTGAATATCTTAAAATAACATGACAGAGAATACAAATCTAACTGGAATAGAGCTAAATCAATTTTCTTGCTCACTTCATAAGATTAATCGAATTGCATTTATTGAAATGGTTTATATTACATCAGTCATATTCTACATGTTATATTATATAGTTTGCATTATGTTAGCCTAAATGATTACCCTGCATTTCTTTCTCAAAATCCACAAACTCGAGAGAAAACCAGTGAGCGTATATCTTTTCGCTACTCAAAATACATAAATAAAATAAGATGAGGAAAAAGGGTGCGTGAGAGAAATACAATGAGACAGGAAAACTCTATTTTACACACCCTCGTGCCTTTCTCTCCGCTGGCTCCTTGGAATCCCTGGAATCCTTGAGAACCCTGAAGAGGAAAAGAGAGAGAGGGATTAATTCACAGGTCCATCAAAGGGAGGAAGGAGAGAGGGATAAAAGGAGGAGAAGAGAAGAAAAGTGCTGTTGCAGCAGTGCATGCTGGGTCACGGTCAAATGGAACGCTGACACCAGATGGCATTATGGGTAAATCCACTTAGCTTTGATCAAGAAGTTCAAACATGTCTGCCTTCCAATCCCGCTCTAATGCATGCGCACACACACACACACACACACACACACAACTTTGTCCTTCTATCAATACATGCACACACTCGAACACGGCCGCTGTGGATGCTGGCTAATCGCAGGCAGATCGGGTGTATTTACCTTGGGGCCTTGTCTTCCTGGATAACCTGGCAACCCAGGCACACCGAGCTTACCCTAAAACCAAAGTACACAGAAGAAACATAACTAATCAGTCGTGACAAAACACTGACAAACTTCACGATGCATATATAGATATACACTCACCTTCTCTCCGGTCGACCCAAGTGGTCCAGAATCTCCAGGTAAACCAGATCTTCCTTTGGGTCCCTCAGGCCCGTCTTCACCTCTGGGTCCAGCAGCACCAAGTTCTCCCTGAATACATTAGGATTTATATGAGACATTTCCCTCAGAAACTAGAGATTTTTATCTTTTTTAGAGGTCTGTTCCGATGAATGATACATACAATGATACGATAAATTACAGCTGTATGCCAGCCAGTCATATCAGAGAATACTTCATTTACATTTACATTAACATTGACTGATGTAATAAGTGAATGTATAAATAATAAAAGTTGCTTTCAGGGGAAAAATACATGAAAAATGTATAGAACAAGTCCCTTTAAATTCCTCAGCAAGCTGCCAAGGGGGCCTCAAAATGACTTCAATGTTTTAAAATAAGACAAAACAAGCTTTAGAATGAGCTAAAACCATGAAAATTACAATATTTTTAAAATGTATTTATTCACCCCCAAATTTCTAGAATGTTAAAATTGTATTATTTTAAATGATTAAAATTATTTAAAGCAAACTTCCAAGAGGGCTTCAAGATGTTTTAATATAAGACAGTAACATATAAAGTAAAAGTAACATATTTATTAAAATAACTCACCCACAAACATTTTTTTTTTATAATTAAAATATTTAAAGCAAACTTCCAAGGGCACCAAGATTACTTAAAACATTTTAAAATAAGACAAAACAAGCTAAAAATGACATTCAATATTTACTAATTTAATTAATCCCAAAAAAATTTACCAACTAAAAATTTTTTCTTAATCCACCTCCTAGAATTCTACAACTTCACTTTTTTTTAATTATAATTTAATTACTTATTTTACTTATTTTCATCTCCTAATTGCTGTAAATTAAAAAGGGCTGTCTTCGAATGTTTCTGAAGTGAAGTGAGTGAAGTGAAGTGAAGTGAGTGAAGTGAGTGAAGTGAAGTGAAGTGAAGTGAAGTGAAGTGAAGTGAAGTGAGTGAAGTGAAGTGAAGTGAAGTGAAGTGAAGTGAAGTGAGTGAAGTGAAGTGAAGTGAAGTGAAGTGAAGTGAAGTGAGTGAAGTGAAGTGAAGTGAATGAAGTGAAGTGAAGTGAAGTGAAGTGAAGTGAAGTGAAGTGAAGTGAAGTGAAGTGAAGTGAAGTGAAGTGAAGTGAAGTGAAGTGAAGTGAAGTGAAGTGAAGTGAAGTGAAGTGAAGTGAAGTGAAGTGAAGTGAAGTGAAGTGAAGTGAAGTGAAGTGAAGTGAAGTGAAGTGAATGAAGTGAAGTGAAGTGAAGTGAAGTGAAGTGAATGAAGTGAAGTGAAGTGAAGTGAAGTGGGTGGACATCTTTGAATAAACGATCCCAGAATTTAATAATGAAACAAGTTTGTGTGTACGGTTAGTGTGTGTTTAATGTTTTTGCCACTTTAGAGATATAATAGGCAAAGACTGGCACTTGAGCAGCATGGGAATAGTGAAGTGTGTGCGTGCGTGGCATTTAACAAGAGTAAATGGTAATTTGGGACAATGTCCACCCACTTAAATCCAGAAGCGTTTGCATATTGGTCCCTAATAACCTAGAGCGGTACGCGTTTGCTCATTACAGACATTTACCCAGCGCCACGGATGAGTCAGTGGACTTTATAACAGCAAAAAATCTGATCAATTAGGCTGAGTGAATATTATACACGCCCTTCGACCGACTTCTGGAGTCCTGAATGACAAAATTTCTCGGCATTTTGTGTGAAAAATGTCTGTGAAATAGACTCGGGAGCGTGTCGCCTGGGGATATGTGATCGCTAAGGTGTTTTTATCACATTTCTATGTGGCCGAATTCCCAGGTTATGGTCCTTAAGGTCTTTTTTCTGTGTATGTCTATATTTGTTCAAATCCCAAAGCAAGTATGAGCAAAAGTAATAGTGATGCTCCACTAAATATAGACCCACTGTGATTGATGTGCCTCCACAGAGATGCTCTGAGAATTAAAGTTCGACCGAAGTGTAAAGAGAAATCAAATCCCATAATTCCCCAGAGATAAAGCCAAACACAAATAACCTCTTCAACCTGCGAATAAGTCTCTTACCCTGTCACCTTTGATGCCCATATCTCCCTTAAATCCTGGAAATCCGTCTTCTCCCTGAGAAGGAAAGAAATGAAGATTTGACACTGAGAGCGTTGCAAACTTCCGAACGCACATAATACCCCTTTTTTGACAAATGCGAAGGGACGGATCTCCATGGCAACTGCTATTTCTGCTATTTGCCGAGGCCTGATCTTATTTTCCTGCTGCACTCTCGCAGGATACAACGTTTTAATGACCAAAGCGGGAAGGTCAAAAATGCATCTTGGAGTACACCGGTTTCCATATTCAGAAGCAGAAATGAAACATTAATGACACAAGAGCAGTGCATTAGCCGTCGGCACACACACACACTCACAACAGCACGTATCCATACGCACGCAGTCGCACGAACACACTCTGAAATTACCTTTTCACCCTTGTTTCCTTTCAGCCCGCGGACTCCATCAGCACCCTGCGGACAGAAAGAGCAAAAGAGCAAAAGAAAAAAGATCAACAGAGTCCATCTAAACTTCAAAACCCTGCGATTGACTCACTGTATCACGAACACTGACTAGAAACCTTGAAGGTGATAAAAGCTCTCAAACCCTAGCAAGCTGCATTACACTCTACTGTCTATATACTGTAGGCAGCAACCCGACTCACAGTGGATTACAACCATAATATAAGTGTGTGTACATATAAATACACACACATACATAAGAAATGCATGTAATATATATTTAAATTTATATATAATATAAATCATATATAAATATGAATAATCGATTTGACAGCCCTATATTATATTATATTGACAGCCCAATATAATATAATATAATCATCTTTTTTATTTCAGGCTTTAATTGAGTTTTTTATACGATCGCAGGACAGTTACCAATAGTTTTTTTTCCACTTTAATTCAGAAATTCATCTTCATATAACTTGAGTGACTCAGACTGTCTTCTAACAATTAAATCTAACAATGGCTTTTTTATTTGGTACAGTTGCAGAACAGTTTAACTACCAATACTTTTTTAACTTATTGGGTCAGGACACAAAAAAATAAAAAATCAGACTGATTTCTAACAATAAATAATATATATAAATAATCTAATCTAATATAATATAACATAATAATTGAGAAATGTATCCTCATCACATTCAAATTGGACACAAGTGTCACATCAGTGAATTACCTGCACTGCCTTACATTTTGGCCAAAAGAACTTATCTCAGAAGTTGTCTTTGATGCCTAAAATGCTGTCTAGGTACGCAACTTTTGGACATTTTGGAAGATGGCTATAAAGTTCAGATGATTCTGCCTCAGGAAAGTATCAGAAACACTGGCAGGGTGCCGTCTCCGTTTCATTATGAGGAAAAAGCTAGAGGCAAAATAAGTTGGGTGACTTTTCACTGACATCTTACTACTACAGAACTACAATACCCACGGACCAATGAGAGATCGTTATGAGTTCTGCTATGACCAATGAGGATTAAAAAACACCTGCCTTTACACCTCGAGGCCCAGGATATCCGATCGGCCCCTGAGGACCAGGAGGTCCCTGTAAAACACAATCAGTTATCGATGGACTTATTGATCACATCTGAAGCTACATTTGTACAAGAGAACTGTCTGTAAATTAACTCTTCGGATAGAGGAATGAAGGATAAACATACCAGATGTCCTTTCTCTCCGGATGGCCCTTCTTTTCCTGGGTGGCCCTGTGTTTGTGACACAAAGATAAAGAGAAATGACACGTTATGCTGCAGTAATTAGATATAAAACCATGAAATGTGGATAGAATAGGCATTGAGAATAGATGCGAACAATGTGTGTCTGTGAAGAACTGCCAGGCAGATCACTGTACTGTATCACGAACACTGACTAGAAACCTTGAAGGTGATAAAAGCTCTCAAACCCTAGCAAGCTGCATTACACTCTACTGTCTATATACTGTAGGCAGCAACCCGACTCACAGTGGATTACAACAGTGCATTTGAATTGAATTGCAAATATATATTCAAATAATGAATAAAAATTCTTAATCATTTGGTATGAAATATTGATATATTTATATATTATCTTATATAATATATATATGGTCTTCTAACAATAATATAATGTAATATAATATAATAGGGCTTTAAAATCGATTAATCACGATTAAGTTTCTGTGAAGAACTGCCAGGCAGATCACTGTACTGTAATTATTACTGTACTGATACACAAACAATAGAGCTTGAGATGATTAGACGTTAAGCGTGTGTGTGTGTGTGTGTGTTTCCCGGACTCACCGGAGGTCCATCGGCTCCTGGCATTCCCGATAAGCCTGGTTTTCCAGTGGGACCCTGAGAAGAGGAAAACCAGCATAAGCACTCAGTCCATTAACACTCAGCACACACTTCCTGTCTCAACACACATTCATGAAGACCATCCAGTAGAGCGATCAATACGTTAAAGTGGTCAGTGTGTAGAAGGGTTAATGACAAATATCAATGTCCAGAATTATGAAAATCTGCTTTAAAAGTATGTGCTCAATTCTTAAATATGTAAGCTTTGTATTCATGCAGGGTTGAAAAAACCCCATTTTCAATTAATATTTTACTTTAATGACTATAAAAAATATCAAGTGGTGTAAGTAAAAGTAAAAATGAATCAAATGTACACATTGTCATAATTATTTTCAAATCATATAGTTTCTTGTTTTATGGTTTTCTTGCCACATAACAGTAAAATGGCTTTGATTTGGCAGTCAAAAGTTTTTTTTTTAAATATTATATACTACTACTACTACTACTAATAATAATAATAAAATAAAACTGTTAATAATAAACAATAATTTCTTTATATATTCTTTATTACAATCTGCAATCTTTAAGCCCAGCAAAAATAAAAATAAAATAATAATATTAATAATTTCAATTTAGAAATGCAAAGGTTTATAATCTGTAAGATTTTTTTGTTCTTGAAAAAAGCCTCTTATGCTCATCAGAGCCGCATTTATTTAATCAAAAATACAGTAAAATAAAAAAATATTGTGAAATATTATTACCATTTAAAATAACTGTTTTCTATTTCAATATATTTTAAAATGTAGTTTATTCCTGTGATGCAAAGCTGAATTTGCAGTCTTCAGTGTCACATGATCCTTCAGAAATCATTCTAATATGCTGATTTGCTGGCCGCTCAAGAAACATTTCTTATTATTATCAATGCTGAAAATAGTTTTTTTTTTGGAAACCCTGATACATTTTTCACAGGATTCTTTAATGAGTAGAAAGCATTTATTTGACATACACACCTTTTGTAACATTATACAGTTACATGTAAATGTCTTTACTGTCTTGATCAATTTAATGCATCCTTGATTAACAAAATGATTAATTTCTTTAAAAAAAAAGAACTTAACCTTAAACTTTTTGAACTGTAGTGTACTTATGAAATGTATTATAATCTTCATCACTAAGAATAAATGTCTTGTCATAAAACATAAACATTATCAATAGAACACTACACACACACATACAAACTCTATATAAAGGCATTAATCCATTAACCAGAGAAGCATCCTTCCATCGATCATCCACACATGCAATCTCACCTTCTCTCCTGGAGGTCCGATCGCTCCCTGAGGACCTGGAAGTCCCTGTGAAAGAGGACAGAATTAGAGGATATTGACTGGTTAATGAAGTCAAAGATGGGTGGGTTAGATAATGTCTGAGTGGGTGTGGCTTGAAGAATACCTGAGCTCCGGGGTTGCCTTGTTGTCCTGGAGGTCCTGGCTCACCTTGAGGACCCTGACGGGTGAAAACAAAAGCATAATAATGTGAATATGTGTGTGTGCAGAAGCAAGTTTGTATGTACAGAAGTGTGTGTGTGTGTGTGTTTGTCTCACACTTACAATGTTTCCTTTAGGTCCAGGATGTCCGTCCGTACCAGTCACACCCTAAAATGATAAAAGAAGGATCAAAATAAATGAAAATGAATTTAACACGTTTAAAAAAATATTTACACATTTATATATTCTCACATTTAAAAAATATTAAGACATTAATAATTAAGCTATTTATTTGTAAGTAAATAAATACCATGAAGGTTAATGACTTGATTCAGATGAAAACTAACTAATTCAGATAAAGATGAAGTTTGTACTCACGGGAGATCCTGGGGGCCCCTGGGGACCTTTGGGGCCCAACAAACCACGAGGACCCTGAAAAAGAGAAGACGGAGAAACAGAGAGTTATGTTCAGCTGAAAGTGTCTGATAATAGAGGCGTTAATAAAGTGGGTAGCATTCGCCCGGTCATGTGACCTCAACATAAATAAAACAGCTTTTTCTATGCAACTTATTTAACTCCTCATCTCATGTGCTATATTTTAAACATGAGTACTGTCTATTTCTTATATACATAAACTAAAAATAAAATAATGCATTTAGAAACAAGATCAAATAGATAAGTGTTCCACCTTTTTTAAATGTTCAATAAATGATAAAATAAAATAAAACAGTGTTAGCCCAGTCATGTGATCTCAACATGAAAAAAGGAGCTTTTTCTATGCCACTTAAATGACTCTTCATCTCATGTGTTACATTTTCAAACAGGAGCCTAAAATACTACTGATTGTGTTTATGTGTACATACAAGAGCAGATGAAGTCACTCTCAAACTAAATGGTGAACATGGAGCGCCACCTGCTGGACAGAGTCTTAAACTGCTTATTTAACTCTACTATACTTCCTGTCTCTGAATGTTTCTCTCACTTCACATCCAGAGTGAGTAAAATGCAGAGGGCACCTCAAAAAATGAGTGACATGGATCTGTGGAAGCGTTATGTATGATCTAGTGGATAACAGAGGATAATGCAGGGATACTGGAGGAAATATGAACTCACCGATTCTCCAGGAAGACCTCTGGGTCCGACCTCACCATCATTGCCCTGGGATACAGGAAATGATGTCATCATGACGTCAAGATTCATTTAGATATAGGACAATAACACTGATGATGAAGGTAACAGGAAGGGATTAATATAAGAAGCTCATACTCTTTCTCCATCCTCTCCTGAAGGCCCAGGTGGCCCCTGAGGACCTGTCTCACCCTACAACAACAATGACAAAGACACACTCATTAGTTTTCATAAAATGAATCACCCTCCTTTTTACAGGATTACTGCCAAATAAATAAACAAATGGATATTAAATTTGACCTTAACTAAAATAATTTTATTAAAATTGGCCAAATCAGAATCATGTATTGCAGAAAGCCATTTAAAAATAAAATAAAATAAAATGTATTTGAAAATAAAATAAAATATATAATTAAATAGCTGCTCAACTAAAGTGTTTCACCTATTTTAAAATGTTCATAAACGTGTTTACACTGTGATGCTTTGACTGCAAAACAAATTTTAAAAATGGACATTAAATGTTGCTCTCAACTGAAATAATTCAGTTATTATAGTTAATTAAAACTAAAACAGAAAGTAAAATTAAAACCATAAAAAAAAGTAAATTTAAATAAAATTAAATTAAAGGGGTCCTATTATGCTTTTTCACTTTTTTAATTTTAGTCAGTGTGTAGTGTGTATGTTTGGGCATAAAAAAGATCTAGAAAGTTACAAATCTCAAAGTCCACTCCAAAGGGAGATATTTCGTTTTTAAAAAATCCCTTTTCAAGAACTACAACGAACGGCTCGTTTGGACTACAGCGTTTGTTTTCCGGGCTTTGTGATATCACAAAGCGGCTCATTGGAATATCATTCAAAATAATTCCCGCCTACAGAAATTTGAATGGGAGAGCATGTTCTAGTACACCCCCAAAACAAAATCAAGACTTTGTAAAAGAGCATAATAGGACCCCTTTAAATTAAAAAAAACGTTTCGACTCATTGTTAATTTTAATTTGAGTTTTTAAGTTTCATTTGACATACTAAAATAACTAAAACGAAAACTGAAATAAAAATTAATAAAAACAATACAGACATATATTAAAAAAGACATGAAATATGACAAACACAGAAGAAATTTACTACAACCATAAAATATAAAAATAAAAACTTATTAAAAAAATACTAAAATACTATCTCAATTATACTCAAATAAGACTTATTTTAAAACGTGTTTACCCTGTGACCCTTTTCTCCAGACAAACCAGCGAGCCCATCGAATCCTCGGTCCCCCTGTGAAGCACACAGACAGGAAACAGTTCAGAATGGCAGGATATTAACATTTTATAAATAAGAAACTACTGTACTTTCTCTACATGAAATCACAATTGACCCTTTTTACTTTCTGGCATCTTATTGTGCACAATTCATTATTGTGTGTTATGCTAAAATATATTTATCTCATTAGTTTTACCTTTGGTCCCGTCTGTCCAGGCATCCCTCTGGCTCCATCTGAGCCGGGTCGACCCTAAGCCAACAGGATACTTGTTTATAAATCTTTTTATAACAGAATGATCGGGTTAATAATAACAACAACAAAACGCAAACGTACCCTTCTACCAGGCTTTCCAGGAGGGCCTATGGATCCCAGTGGACCACGAGGACCCTAAAAACACACACACAGGTCTCACAACAGTTCTATCCTGCATTAAAAGGTCTGAGGATAGCTGAGGATTGTGGGTAATCTGTGATGCCTACCTGAGGTCCTGATTCCCCAGACTCTCCTTTCAGTCCAGAAACACCAGGAGGACCCTGGGAAAATCAAATCAAGCTTGAAACATATCAGACTCATCATAATATCATAGATATCATCATTTCGACAGACTGAAGACAGATATACAGACATACCAGAGGACCGGAACGGCCCGTCAAGCCCATGGGTCCGGTTGGACCCCTCATCGCCAGCTATATGATAATGACACAGAGCAATTAGTTTGCATAGAGATGTGTGTGTGTGTGTGTGTGTGTGTGTGTGTGTGAAATATAGTGTGTATTGGTGTAAGTGTGTGTTTTTACCCTGGCCTGCTGCATGATGGCTTGCATCTGAGCCTCTTGGGCAGAAACTGCAGGACCTTTATGTCCGCTGTCGCCTCCTGTACTCATGCGGAACTACAGAGACAGAACCAACTCATCAACATTTAGACTATGATAGTTTACTTTAGACATGACAGCAAGAGTGAAAAATGTTCCACCTGTTTTAGAATGTTCAACATGTGATCAAATTAAATCAAGATTAAATTAAAGTACTTGAAAATAAAATATTTCAATACAATTTTTAAATAATATATACATTTATTTTATCTTAACATTAACTTAACCTTTTTTTTTTTGTGGAATCCAAAACACAAGTTACATGCTACATTCAATGAGTGGCATCCAGTTATTGCAAAAAATTAAATTCCTCTTAAAAAATGTTAATTATATGTTTTAAAGTGTTTAGTAAGATTTAAAGTGTTTCACTTAGTTAAAAAAGTTCTGTATATGATCAAATAAAATAAAACGAAATGAAATAAAATAAATTAAAATAACACCAATTCCACCAATTTTAAAATATTCATTATATGTTCAAATAAAAATTATAAAAAAAATAATAAAATAATTGCATTTAAAATAAAATAACTCTAAAGTGTTTCACCAATTTAAAATATTCATTATATGTTCAAAAAAAATAATAATAATAACATAATGCTTTTAAAATGAAATAGATCTAGTGTTCCATCTATTTAAAAAAAGCATTATATGTTCAAATAAAATAAAATAATGCATTTAAAAATAAAATAGTTCCAAAGTGTTTCATCTATTTGAAAAAGTTCATTGTATGTTAAAAAAATAAAATAAAATCATGTATTTGAATATAAAATAATATAAAATAGATCTAAAGTGTTTCACCTAGTTGAAAATGTTCAGTATATATCCAAATAAAATAACTCTAAAGTTAAAATTTTAAAATATTCATTTTATGTTCAAATAAAAATTGCCAAAAATAAAATAATGTATTTTAAAATAAAATAGTTCTAAATTGTTTAATCTATTTTTAAAAAGTTAATTATATGTAAAATAAACTAAAAAATCATTTGAAAATTGAAGTAGTGTACGTACTGCAAAAATAAAAAAATACATACATACATAAAATAAAATACGTGTGGTAGCATGTACTTCCAAATGTACTCTAGAGCTGAATTCAGACTAGCATACTACTCTTACTATTTCTTCCATGTAAAGATAAGGCAGAAATAGTATTACTAGTAGTATGACTAGTATGGCAGTATGCAGTGTTTCTGTGCCTCTGTCTGTGTACAGGAGTCAAGTTATTCAGCACTGCCATCTGGTGGCTGAACGCAATCACTACACTTCCAAGAGTATGACCACTAGTTTCAAAGTGAATCTGTGCTTCATGGCTCTGTATTGATTTTCATGGGTATTTTGGGGGGGTGAGGAGAGGTAGTGTTTAGGGTGGGGTTTAATTACAATCACATGTTGACTATAAACACATATACAGCACGGACAACACAATTTTTAATGTGGTGTTTAGAACATCTGGATTTGCCATGGAAGCATTCCAGAACTCTCGACATTGTGAGGTCGATACACTAATAATCAGTTCCCTCATTTTAATTGAATTAAATCATAGTCACAATTTACCTAAAATGAGGGAACAAAATAAATGATACACGGTCCCGAATTTAAAAAAAAAAAAAAACCTGTATCGGAGTAACAGCTGGGAAAGAGGAAATTTGGAAAAGCTGAGAGTATGATGTGGAATTTGCGAAATGTCTCTGCATAATGACTGCATTAACCAGCGTGTGATTGATGGGGAAACACAGCAGCAAAGGGAGCATTATGTTTCTGATATCTCTCTGACATAATTATCACTGTTAAACCACTCCGAAAATAAATCAAGCCAGCACAAGAACTAACGGCTCTGGACATTCATTATGACGCACTGTAGATCTCGTCTACAGGCTAAAACTGACCTCAGTACAGTGAAATGGGGCTTTAAATTGTAAAAGCTAAAAGACGTGCATACGTGTATCAATCAGTTGTTTATGTGTCATTTTAATGTGTAGTTTTTGTAAGTGTGTATCTGGTGATTGTGCTCAGATTTACATACAGGCAACATCAGGACAGTCCCTGGAGGTCCTGGAAGACCGTCAGCTCCAGGCAGACCAGAGCGACCAGTAGGACCCTGTCAAAAGAGCAAAGGATTATGGGTAATGCCTTAAACAGCATTGTGATCTATAATATAATCTCTTTCAATCAGTGTAATCAGGCTCTCTAAAGTTAAAATGTAATCTTATACAGTATGATGAATCACAATCACATTAAGAAATGTTCAGGTCATATTTCACCCTGAAAAAAAAAAAATTATATATATATATATATAGGAATATATATATATA